CCACAAAAGTACATTGCCAGCTGACATTCAACTTGGTGTCTACCAGGTCCTTTTATGCTTTCTGGCCAGTCATCCCCAAATCTGTGCTGGTACATGGGGTTATTCCTCCTCAGGTACAGGACTTTTCATTTCCGTATAATGAACTTATGTCAGTCTGTTTCTCCAGCTTGTCAAGCTCCCTCTGAATAGCAGCACAACCATGTGGTGTATCAACCACTCCTCCCAGTTCTGTATCACCTGCAAATTTGCTGAAGGTGCCCTCTGTTCCAGCATCTAGGTTGTTAATGAAGATGTTAAAGAATATTGGCATTTGTTTTGACCCCTGGAATACACCAGTATTTTTCTGATAGACTTTTTTTTTTTTTTTTACAGCCAACAAAGTCAACACATGAAGAATATTAACACAAATCACCTGTGAGGGACCACAGAAGTGTGACACACTGTTGCTCCAGACATTTTAAACTGTCAGAAGCTGAGTTCAGGAAGGCAAAATGGTATGTCTGCTTTTGCTGCTATCTTGGTGACTGCATACCCTTGCACAATTCATAGTTTTCCTGCAGAAAGACTGATATAAACAATTAAAACTGGATTTTTATCTGAACGGTTTAAGACAGAGATCAATCTGATATCTTGGGGGGGTGTTCTAGCTTGATGGAAGGACAGACTCCTCATTCCTTATTTGACATCCGCTGGTATCCTTATAGGACATTGTCCTCAAGAGAGGATGCTCAATAACCAACTCCTAGGATCACACAAGCTGGATCCCATATCTTTTAGCTGCAGTTATAATCTGCTGGCTATCATAACTGCCAAGATATTCAAGAATAGCACTGCCATTCAGGACAGGTGAGCTCTGCCCTGGAAGCATCCAACAGACCAGCATACACATCACAGCCTTTTACTTTCTGTCTTCTTGATTAAGTACTTAGACTGATCTTCAAAGTTCCACGGAGTCAGATCATTTCAATGTTGTAACAAAAGTATTTTTTCAGGAATTTTTTGTTTATGCTAATATGGAGAAAATTATGCTGTTATAATTCTGTAATGAACAATACACCAAAAAAGTAACCATAAACAGGCTGATTTCCTGGTACAGCAGTCCTTACTCCTGTGCAAGTCCCACATCGATGTTTATTCTCAGAACAAACCTTTCTCTATTCTGTGACAATGGAAATTGCTGTAACTCTCAGCAACAGTCCACAGGAAAACATCAAGTCCCTGCCATGTTTTCCTGTACACAGATCTTCCTTTGGCTATGAGATCCTCTGCCACAGTTGAGTGTCCTAGCCATTTCCCTTGCACACACAATGCTGGTGGGATGTTAGCTATGTTAAACAATGTAGCGATGTGGTCCTAAACATTTTCTCAATTCTTTGTATAATCACAAGATATTACAAGAGTTAAAATGATCCACCTAGATCAAAGAGTTAAGAAATGCCAGGACAAAAAAAGACACTGGAGAGGAGTCAGGCAATCTGATACATTTAAAGTGTGTGTAAAAGAGTCCACTGGAGAAGGACTTCCTACAAACACTGGTTCTTAATAGCACAGTTCATGCTCCATAGCAAGAGTTCATGCTGAATCAGCAGTAGTCCTTTAGACATGACATGTTAGTAAATCACAGAAGAAATTCAACACCGTATTTGACAGTAAAAGAGGAACAGGTGCATCACACTAATGTCTCTGGACTTTGGCAAATCTTCAAGAGTATTTAATTTCATTTCACAAACAGCAAAACAAAGCTGAGAATTTTTCAGATTGACCAGTAGTTTAGTTCTCCTTTAACAGGTTTCTTTTAATGAATTTCACCTCTATAGTTACACAATTAGGCATGCTAGTAGTTTCAGAATGGGATCATGAACATAACCGAGACAAAGCAGCTGGCAAAGCACCAAAGCCATCCTAATCTGACATTACTTCTTCATTTCAGTCTTGAACACAAAAGTGAGGCATAAATCTATGTAATGTGTTCTCATGAGACAGAGGGACACATCCAGTCAAGACATCACTGGGCACCAGAAGATCTGGGGCACCAGATGACATAAATGTCAAGGAAAGATGATTCTCTGCCATCACCAGATTCTTATTCAGCGTGGACACTGATTTATGAAGAGCATGCAAACAAAACCAGAGGGAAGACAAAACAAAAAGGACTGAGGATGGTCATGAAGAATCTGAATGTAGAGCTGAGCAGAGAAACAAACCATGTGGTCCTGTAAAAGTCTCCTGTGAAAGAGCAGGAAGGAATCTGAGTACGGAGAAAAGCCAAAGGATCTGCTGCTGGGTAACAATGGGGCTCACAGCTCTCAGAGACCAGGCATGAAGAGAGGACAGCTTGCAGGAACTGTTTTCTAACAGCTAATTCAGGAAGTAGTTCTGATTTTAGCTGCCACTTCTCCTAGGTTAGATCTAACTGCTTTCAGTTTAGCTTTGGTTTGGAGCAGTGAGTGGCTGAGCCATTCTGATATGTACCATTCCACACAGCATGACAGATTGCTGAGGATGCCAGGAAGTAGCTAGATGTCACAGAAGCTCAAACAGAAGTCTTTGCACCTACCTTAAGCTCTGTCTATTGGTGGGAAGGTAATTAGCCTTTGCATTTCCCTGTTGATTTAGCTCCATGGGCAGAATCTCTCATGCTAGACATTCCCTCAGACAGGCAGCCAGATCCACCAGTGACCCACAGGAGGGAAGACAAAGTATTCTTTGAGCATGCATTTGTTAATAACACAAATCATCTGAGACTGAATAGCAATACTATAGTGAGAATAAGTATACGCTGTCCTTCCTGGTGCCTCCAAAGACCTCTGATGGATATTATACTATGCATTCAGTAATTACATTCTTGGCTACAGTTTCTTCAGGTTTGGGTTCCTCAAAATAATTCTTGAAACCTTTTTAAAACACTGGTGTCTCTTTTTCCATACTTTGTGTACTGAGACGGAATGAAAAGTTATACAACAGAACAAATAGTTTTGAAGCTATTAGTTCTCCTGGGAAATCACCCTCCAAGGTTAATGTACTCAGATCTTGACAAGTTATCAGGTTCCAAAACCTTCTCTTTGGACACATCTGAAAGGAGTTTGGGATTGGATTCTCTTTGAGCTTCCAATATCTAAAATTCATATTTCTGAGTGTGTCATTAACATGGCCTCCTTGCACATTTAAAGGATAGAAAACCTGAGGGAAGTATCAAAGACCAGATGAACTGCCATTTTATAGCCCATTCTCTTAATAAATTGACAAGAGCCAATTAGAGAGTCATTACAGCATTGATAAATCAGGTATTAGTGGAAATGGTTCTTTACAGTTAAACTTTCTTCATGGACCATTCAAACCAACTCACAAGGGAAATGAGGGAGAAAGCTCAGATTCCAGTACATTGGTTCAAAAATTACATTTACAGTATATAATTGTTATCAATTAATATGCATAATATGATTGAAAGAACCAGGGAGCTGCTAAAGTCCTGTGTACAGCCCCCATCAGTTAATATTTAAAATAGAAAAGCAGTAACTAGACATGATTTAGGGTTTAGGAACTAACTATTAGACAATGAAGCTTTATGTTTATGTCAGAAAAGGTAATGGATTGTGGTCTGGTCAATAAACCTTGAAGAACTGCTTGAAATGGCCAAGATTAGGGAACAAGTAGGTAAAAGGTAATTCCTACAGGGGGAGATCGCGACCACCAACTCATTGACCACCTACTCAGATGACACCACTTGCTCAAAAGAAGACAATGAAGGAAGAAGACAGAGTCTGCGCACTAATTTACATGAAAGCGAAGAAGAAAGAACCAATCATTAAGGAAAATAACAATGAATATATATTAGTTAAGTGTATAATTATGAGGATTTTTGAGACAAGGGTGTACTGTCTTGAGACAGGCACCCGTTTGTGTGCATCAATGAAATTAGTTTGAAAAGACCTCGAATCTGTTGTTATTGGCTTGCACACTGGGTAAATGAACCCCATTTGTAGGACAACATCATCACCTGAGTTTGACATTTCATATTTAGTTTCACCTCCCAGGCCAATAGGAATTACCTAATAAGATAACTGATCTAAGAAGAAATGACAGATGGATTGTTATTTCACTATGCTCTACTTCTTTGACTGTCTCATTTGACACCTGAAAATGAAAGTCCTCCACCCCTGACCTCCCATCCTCTGAGCAATATTCTACTTTTTTCCTTAGGAATTAACAAAAAACCCCTAATGATATGAAGAGAGAGCACTCCAGTATTTCCATAGGAGGCACCTTCAGATCCACACAGGAAATACTACTCTAGCCAAATGCTCTTTAGTATCAAACTTTCCACTTTGGACTCTCTGAGAAGGCAGAAAAGGCCAGCCAACAGCTATTAGAACCAAGATCATTATTCTAAAACCAGCACGGTCTGGCTGGTGAAATGAAAACAGCTTTTTAGTGGCACTGATGGATGGTGCCCTGCTGCCAGTAGATGGATTCAGAAATATCCATTCTCATACTCCTCTGCAGCATCAGCGCTGCCAAACATGAGTGCTGTTCTGCTTGAGAGAGCTGGCACAAGCATGCTCTAAAGCAATCTACAGAGTCCCAGAAGGGAAACATGGAAAAGGCAAACAGGACATCTACTACCAGATCCTGCTCACAGTCCCACAAGATCCAGTTCTCAGATCCAGTTTAACCTACAACTGTAAGTAACTAAGGCAGCAATTTTGTCTCCTGACGTAAAAATACACCCGATAAGTGTTATCTACTCAAAGACATATGTGGGCAGATCATCTCAATGGAAGTCCAAATCATAGCTATATAAATTATACCTTGTAATCAACATACCTCCTTTAGCTACATATAAACACACACAGTGCAATTTAAGTGTCCACTTGCTTTGGTCAAAGCCATGGCCCATTGTAAACCACATTTATTATTATCATCCCATATCTAGTTGTGGCAGTACATCCCGCCCCCCCCCATCCTGCCAGGAGGAAACAAAGAAGCCTCAGTAGGCCAACCCCCAGCAGCCACTTGTAAGGGTTGACAGTGACGCAGAAGAGACCCGAGTAGATCTGCGAGGAAGGGAGACAGCACGTTGGCTTCCACTTAGCCTGGCAGAGCAGTTCCTCCTAGCTACCCAGAGGAAGACTGCTGCTGCTACTTACGTAGATCATCCAGGCTGCATAACGCTCTTTGAGGTTGTACAGCACAGCGGGTTCATGGAGGTGGGTCATCATGGCCATGTCCTCGACTTTATCGTCCTTGGGAGGGTTCATGGAGAAGATTTGATCTTCCTTCACGGTCAGGGTCTGCCAAAGAATAGAGATGCATGTATGTCAGCTAAGAGCTAAGATTAGGAATCAGATGGTGTCCTTCAGCCTGTTTTTCTCCTCACCTCTCCACCTTCAGTCTTGACAGTGACCTTCCCTGAGTCTTTGTTCTGGATTGTTCCTTTCACAAAGGATTCCTTAGGATACACCACAAAGAAGGATGACTTGGCATCAGAAGGCTTGTTCTGGGCCTCAATTCTTTCCTCTTCTGACTTTCGGAGATATGCAGATGCCTCTCCAAAGACAGCCATCTCAGCATCTGAAGACATGGCTGCACTTTATTTGGGCTACACCTGTAAAGAACTTTGATGGGCAAAATGTTATTTCATGACAATACTGTCTTCAAGAGGATTAAACCTCTCCCATCAGAGGCTTGCTTTATTATCAGTCTGGTGGCAGCAGCAATTTAAATTATTCCTGCCCTGTCATGCCGTGGTGTGCTACTCCCTCAGCTATGTTAGCACAAGGGTTTTTTTGATAAACATTAACTGGATCCACCTTTAGAAAATAAAAGAAAAAGATATTTTCCCATCAGCCAGTTATAGGATACAGTTCAGAAAAGGATCTTACTAACAACAGGAACAGTAACTTCAGTTCTAATGGCATGCTTCAGAGTGAAGACAAACTTTTCAGAAGTACCTATCAAAATGAAAGAGTCAGCTGTTCCTCACTCACTAGTCTGGCTTTAAACATCTAAAAGTTGTACAGGCTCCAAAGAGCATCTTTTTTTATGTGCCTTCCTGGCAGATACTCTTGTATCTTTGTTGAAAGCCACTCTTCAGGCATTACGAAAAGTTCACTTTGGCTAGCTTCTCCCTTACACCTCTTCCACTTTAGAAAGACACACACTGAAAGACAAGGTCATGTATATTTTATCTACTTCTTGTAAATCGAGCTGTGATTGCCATTTTAAGAGCTATATTCAGTCATTTCCTGATTTTGAAACCTTGCTAATGGGGAAAAAACTAGTTTTGTTGGTGTTCCTCCAAATGCAGTCCCCAGCTCCTACCCAAGCAAAGATACTCGAATGTTATCAAATTCAATAAAGAACATACTAATACTATTCTAACTTTGAAGTGGAGAAAACAGAAAATGCTTTCTTTGTCAAGAACATGGAAACTAAATGAGATGTGATTGAAGAAGCTAAGAAAGATAAACTAAACAAAGTCCCTGCTGATAGATCCTCACCAGTCTTCCACAGGTGAGGTGTAGGATCCTCTCATTCGTAGCATCTTCAAACTCCTGTAAGAGTGCTCCACATTATCTCAGTGTGCATTTCTGATCGAGGTGCCTTCCTTGGTCTCCTAAAAAATTGATTTATCAAAAGTTCCTGGTTTTTGCCTTGTTTTGAAGAAGTCTTTTTTTTTTTCTTTTTTTTTTTTTTCTTTTTTAATTTGGCATTTTAATTTGGAGGTTCAAGGTGTCTCTACAATTTCTGATGAAAAAAAGGCACCTCCAGGAGTTAACTCCACCTTTTTTGATACATCTTTCTCAAGACGGCCTGAATCATTCTCTATCAACATCCACTGTTCTCTATTGACTACAGACAGAATTTAGGTGACAGAGACTTAGAACAAGGACAAGTTTGATCTTCTGAAAGTGATTTTTTTTAAGTTTAAGCTTACCACCTCAGCACCCTTATATAGCCAGTGGAGAGAAACAGACCCCTGCAGAAGGCAGTTGATATACCCTCAGACAGGGAATATGGAACACAGATCATTTCTGCAGTTCTGTATAAGCTGCCTAGTGTATATGAGTTAGCACTCCAGGAAGTATCAGGCATCAAACCTGGAATCTCCCTTCCAGGAACCATTTATCTTCCAAGGATCTGATCCAGCCTTTCTCTTGTCTTTTAAGACAGGCTGGGTGGTGGAGCACCTATTATATGATAGGCAAGTGAACCTTATCTAAGTACTGGCATCTAGTTTTGATTACCACCTCTCACAAATTCCGCTGAAAGTGAAACAAATCACTTTTGTCCATTTTTCTTATCAAAGATGAATCCTTGTACAGAAAGGAATGCAAAATGTACAGGATAAGAAAGATCTCTTCCTGCAGTCTAGCTGTTAGGGAATCAAGCTACCAAAAAAAAAGCAGTTCCAGTCTTCAGTCAATGTTTCCACAGTTTTTTCTGTATTCAGTGAATGCTGAGTACAGATTTTGTTGTTATTACCTGCTATGCATGCTAGGCTTTTGTGGCTCAGGTGTTCTTTATTGGCCAGCAAGATAATTATTAAGATACACCTTCATTTAATCCCCAATGGGATTTAAACAGGAAGCACATGAATGCTCAGAATCTGTGTCCCGATCCAAAGTCGGGGAAGGTTTCGATATGATTCCAAGAGCGAGATTAAGACACAAACAAGGTCAAATGCCGTATACCCAAAAGAGCTTTTATTATCAAAAGTATCAAAAGTAGAAAATAGTAGCAATAGGATAGAATGGAAGAAAAGGCAGAAATCAAGCAAGCAGTCAGGATAGAGTTGCAAGGATAGTCACCACCATGGATCCAGTGGTGTCCCGTTGGTCCTCAGTCTTCAATACTTCGGTGGTGGGTGCACACCACAGCTTGTCTCCACGGTCTTTTATAGGGCATATTTCGATGATGTATGCACATACATATTGTTCATGCACTGTTCACATGCTGCAGGTTTCGTCTATCACACAACCTTCACGTGATCAACACCAGAAACCAGTATCTTATCTCAAAGACTACAGTTTCCGTGAGAATGGTAGCCTCCACATTCTTACATGCTTGTTGGCTTCGGCCTGTTTCCTCTCCTGAATGCCTCAGTGGCCTAGTAATTGTCCTTATGGACGAAGCAATGTCCTGCTTAGACAGGCCATCTCAGAGACAAAGAGCTTGAGATAAGCAGTCCACAATTCTTGAGATGAATGGCTTGAGAAGTCTCTCACACCTAACAATCTTTGAGACAAACAGCTCAAGATAACAATTCAGTCTCTCACAATGTGGGGCACAAGCACAGGGTGTCAGAGGCTGAAGGAGTTAATGTCCCAAACAGGGTGGTGGGGCAAGTTCTGCTCTGCAGAACAACGAACCCCACCCAGCAACAGACTGCACAAGTCCGCGGGCCTGAGGGCGCGCGGTTCTGATAGGCTGAGCGGGGCAGCTCACCATATATGGCACAAAGGTCAAAGGTCGGTCGTCCCTGCCGGGAGGGAGAAGCAACTCCCCAGACGACCCCCAAGCCCACCGACCCATTTCCCAAAGCACAAACCGCGCATGACACCCAATTAGCCTAATGAGTTTGAGTGCCCGCCCGAAGGAGGGGCAAGGAGGTGACAAAGGACACAAACTGAAGCGCCATGTGCACACGCCCACTGGAACTGGGCCCCTTGGCGGACTGGACCAGTGCTGGACCCAGGACTGGTGAAATCCTTCTATTCTCTGTCTCTCTCTCTTTTTCTGTAATCCCTACACCTCATCCCTTTAGACATAAACCGCTGACCAAGTCTGGGACTAGGAGTGGATCCAGCCACCCCTGGGCTCCTCTCTGAGAAGGAGTCTAGAAAGCAAGGGGGTCTGCTCTGAACCTCGTGACTCAATGGGAGGGCTCACCTTATTGTCTTCCCTGAACTAATCCCCAAATAAGCAAGGCCTGTAGTATTTGTTTGGTGATGTACGGTTAGCACATTACACAATTTACTGATGTAGTTTCATGCCCATTCTTCTTGTTAGCGTGTCAATTCTTGTTGTGAGCGAATAAAAATTGAGGTTTGTGAGTTAAAGGATCCCTGGTGTTGTTTCACCTTAATCCTGACCTGGGATTCAGCAAACCTGAGTCATCGTCCTGAGAAATTGGGACAGGACACATGGCAAAACTGGACGCATCTCTGGGTCTTTAACATAATTGCAAATACCTTCAAGAGTTGCTGATATTTCCGTTTTGACTTTTATTCTTAAGGTTTTTGGACAAATATTTTCGAAATGTTAGGTCTTGAAGGGTAGTTAGGAAGTGTCCCCCCATCCTTCCTAGTCCATTCTTACTCCCTAGGGCAGGAACAACTCTACCCCAGGAAATAATTAGCTGTATTGCCCAGCCAAAGGCAAAGTCCACCTGCCTAAAGCACCACCCTGAGGTGGGCACTGGGAGCAGGTGAGTAGCAGCAAAGAAGTTGCCAATAACAAACCAGTTTGGTTGGCCACAACATGGAAAACCAGGCTGGCTGCTGCTACGTACAGGAGCATGGTACTGGGGACAAATGTCTTCCCACAGCAACCACCACTGCCTTCCTCAGCTGCTCCTTCTCCCTTGTGGAAGCAGGAGGACTGATTCTTCAAGGCAGTTCTCCCAGTGGAGTAGTGAGATCCAATGTGCCACCCAATGTGAACAGCACCATGCATCCACTACACCCAAGAATGACTGTTTCACATGGAGATGCTGCTTAGCTGTACTCTGCCTCGGTGTGAAACAAAAATTCTGGCCTCTCTGAGTCCTCTGCACAGCAAGATCTGCAGTCCTGTCCTTGCACAGACAGGAGTGATCATCCAATGCCCGAAAAAGGCATCAGCTTCAGTGTGTGCAGTATTTCAGTGCCACATTTCCAATTTTCCACTGCAAATGGCGTTGGAGACAGGTTCCCACATATTTACACAGTGAAAAATGGCACTGAAACTTTACATATGTGGAGAATTTTAGGTCAAAAAGCTTATACTTGCGAACCATGTAGCCAATTAGACATATTTTTATTTTGAATCAGCCTACTGCTCTGGGACACATATACTGCACTTTTTAGAACTTTGTTCCCTTTTGACACTCAACCATAAAATATTGTGACTACCTGAACTTAAATTCACAGCACAAACATTTGGTAACTGATAGTGGTGATTGGAAATAACTTGTAAGTGACGCAATTGCATGAAGAAATGGCTTTTTAATGTTTATCACAGTTTCAGTTTAATGGTGTTTTAGTGCCTTGTAAATGTACATGAAAATAATTTATAAGAAAATAAAGGTTTATGAATTTCAGAAATTGATGTGGAATTTTAAATGCAGTATTAGAATCCCAAAATGATAATACATTTCTCATAGCTGGAATTTTCAGAAGGTAAGTCAGTTTTAGATTCTCAGCGAAGTCTTTAAGCACTAATTTACAGTAACCAAGAGCAAAGCATTAAATTACGTGCAGTTAAATGAGAGCTCCCTACGTATTCAACAATTACATTCAAGTTTGGAAGGGAAGAGAGATTTCCAGTTTTGTATGTGGAGTACAGCATGGGCATAGTAGCACAAAGTCCTCAGCAAAG